AAGTGGAGAGCAAACAGAGAAGAATGGAAGACAAGAATACTCAGAAGAAATCTGGCATGGTTCACAACTGGATTTCTGAAAGCAAGATGGAATGGTACAACCAATTGTAAACTGCTTCACCTTCCACTCCATCTCTACATGTAAGAACAGTCAAATGAAATCATGGTAACAAATTCAATGGAAATAGTAAGGCTATTTGGTTAATCCAGATTCCACTCAATACATATTATTATCCATTGTCTTAATATGAAACTATTTTTTCTTGTTCAACCAATAAGATGGACCCACTAGCAAATGAAAGAATCAAAGAATTAACTGCTGCTGTGAAAGAAACTGTCAATCAGCACTCCATCACCAGTGCTAGGGCTGCAATATATAATCTATTAACAAATATACCATTATAGGGTATCAGTTACTAAAATTCAAAGACATATTCTTTTTCCTCCCAGCTAGGCATAATCATTTTTAATTATACATATACCTGAAAATTTATAAGGGAAAATAGGATTACTATATAAGTTAAATCAAACATTATTAATTATACATATACATATTGTTAATTCTCGTGACAGTAGTGCATGCAAACTACACTTGGAGAATAAGAAGTCCTAGACTGATTAACAATAATATTGTAAGGAATACTGAGTACTATGAAGAAAGACTTATTAGTTCACCAACGTGTATCTTGACATATCACGTTGAAGGAAAAAAGGATAGCTTGATAAATTTATCAGTCAATTTCTTCTCTTCAGAAGGTAAACATTGATTTTTCTACAGATGGTTATATAAAAGTAGTTGTAGACACTAAAATTGCTCATGAATAATTGATCAAACAGAAAAGAGTATTTTGCAATCTTCATTCAATGTATCTCTCCCCTTATTTGAGTATGCCTTCCAATGCTCATGTACTCTGATCAATGATACTTTATACTAAGATCTATGAAAGTTTGCATCAGCTAACAATTGGACAAAGATGCATGAGCTAATCACAAGGAACTACAAAAAGGTAGCTCATTAAGTCATTTGCACAACAAAAATGTAGTTGTTGTATGTGGACCTACTAGACTTCCCATACATTTCTAACAAAAATGTAGTTGCATGTGATTTCCCCAGATTCTTAGAAGGGCTGCCATGTTTCGAGACACACAATCATAAAGAATGACTACAAGTCAGATACCAAATGACATTGACTACAACAAACTACACTAGAAAACATACTCTGAATGCAATAAAAACTAAATTTACGGTTGAAAGGTCCTAATGGCTAGAGGGGTGGTGAATAGCCTAATAAAAATCTACAACAACACTTAACAAAATGTGTTAGACAATTTTGCGGCGAAGCGAGTGTTGCGCTAGCCTACTAAAATGCAAGCCACCTACCACAATTCTATTTCGAATAGTGTATATCCACACAATAGCTATGACACTTAGCTAAATTAGTGTGCTCTCAAAGACTAACTAAAGAGCAACACTAATCAAACAAACAAGCTCTCACAACTAGCTACACTAAAGAGCTTGATAACTAGTTTGCGGTAATGTAAGAGTGAGCAAGAGAGTTATACCGCCGTGTAGTGGTAGGAACCAATCAATCACAATAATGAATACCAATGTAGACCAATCACCTCGGAATCAAATGATGAACACAATGATTTTTACCGAGGTTCACTTGCTTGCCGGCAAGCTAGTCCTCGTTGTGGCGATTCACTCACTTGGAGGTTCACGCGCTGATTGGCATCACTCGCCAAACCCTCAATAGGGTGCCGCACAACCAACATAAGATGAGGATCACACAAGCCACAAGCAATTTACTAGAGTACCTTTTGGCGCTCCGCCGGGGAAAGGTCAAGAACCCCTCACAATCACCACGATCGGAGTCGAAGACAATCACCTCCTCCACTCAATGATCCTTGCTGCTCCAAGCCGTCTAGGTGGCGGCAACCACCAAGAGTAACAAGCGAAATCCGCAGCGAAACACAATCACCAAGTGCCTCTAGATGCAATCACTCAAGAAATGCACTTGGATTCACTCCCAATCTCACTACGATGATGAATCAATGATGTAGATGAGTGGGAGGGCTTTGGCTAAGCTCACAAGGTTGCTATGTCAATGAAAAATTTACAAGCGTATGAGCCACAGCCGGCCATGGGGCTTAAATAGAACCCCAGTGAAATAGAGCCATTGTACCCCTTCACTGGGAACAACGCGGGGTGACCGGACGCTTCGGTCCGAACGACCGGACGCTGGCCCTCAGCGTCCGGTCACGTGATTCACGCCACGTGTCCCCTGCTTCAAATGCTGTTCGTCAGATTTCAACGGTCGCGAAGCTGACCGGACGCTCCGGTAAAACTGACCGGACTCTGAAGCCCCAGCGTCCGGTCGTTTCCAGTAAGCTCCCCGAGGCATGATTTTTCGACCGGACGCGTCCGGTCCACCTTGACCGGACGCAGTCAGCGTCCGGTGCTCAACCCAAGCCACTGTACCGCCGAGTCAGCGCGACCGGACGCAGGCAGACAGCGTCCGGTGCTTCTGGATTCAGCGTTCGGTCACTGGACCGACGCCAGCATCATTTCGATCAACTCCATTTCAACTCTTACTTCTTCACCCTTGCTCAAGTGTGCCAACCACCAAGAATTTTGCATCCGGCGCAATAGAAAATAGACATTTCATTTTCCCGAAAGCGCCGACACAAATATTATCAAGGGTGTTAGCACTCCACTAGATCCTAAATGCATATGCAATGAGTTAGAGCATCTAGTGGCACTTTGATAACCGCATTTCGATACGAGTTTCACCCCTCTTAATAGTACGGCTATCAATTCTAAATGTGATCACACTCTCTAAGTGTCTTGATCACTAAAACAAAATAGCTCTTACAAATTATACCTTTGCCTTGAGCTTTTTGTTTTTCTCTTTCTTCTTTCCAAGTCGAAGCACTTGATCATCACCATGCCATCATCTTTATCATGCTATGATCTTCATTTGCTTCACCACTTGGAGTGTGCTACCTATCTCATGATCACTTGATAAACTAGGTTAGCACTTAGGGTTTCATCAATTCACCAAAACCAAACTAGAGCTTTCAGCGGTGCAATCTCAGCCGAAAGATGGTGATTTTTCTTGCAATAATCACAGTGATTCAGGAAATAGGAATTTGCATCACAGATTGCACATAAAAAATACAACAACAACCACCACGCCCCGCCGCCGGCCACCACCACCACCACCGCAGCCACCGGCCGGATCCGGGAGAGGGAGGGCCGGATCCGGCCGGGTGAAGAAGGGGGAGGGGAGGGCCGCCGCCGCCACCACGCCCCGCCGCCGGCCACCACCACCGCAACCACTGGCCAGATCCGGGAGAGGGAGGGCCGGATCCTGCCGGGTGAAGAAGGGGGAGGGGAGGGGCGCCCGCCGGGGAAGAAGAAGGAGGAGGGGAGGGGCGCCGGCGGGGGAGAAGTTGGGGGGAGAGGAGGGCTGCCGCCGCCACCACGCCCCGCCGCTGGCCACCACCACCACCACCGCAGCCACCGGCCGGATACGGGAGAGGGAGGGCCGGATCCGACCGGGTGAAGAAGGGGGAGGGGAGGGGCACCCGACGGGGAAGAAGAAGGGGAGGGAGGGGCGCGGTGGGGGGAGAAGAAGGGGAGGCGCGGATCTGCTCGGCTGCCGGGCGGGCGTGGCGACGGATCCGGATGCAGCCCCGCCTCGTCCTCGCGCCACTAGTGAGGGAGGGAGAGTAGAACCACTAGAGTTGATGACGATGTGCGTGGCCGCCAGCGTGGAGGTGGTGGCGCCGGATCTAGCCGCCTGGTGGTGCGCCCGCCATGGATTTGGCAGGATCCGGAGGTGAAGGAGAGGGGTTGCACCCGCCGCGTCGATGAAAAGGGAGAGGGAGGAGGGGAGGAGCGGTGGCGCTGCTCGGGTAGGGGAGGAGTGGCAGCGCTACTCGGGGAGGGGAGGAGCCCCCGTGCTGAGTCACAGAGGGAGGGGCGCGGCGCTAAGTCGCGAGGCACTGAAAGGAGAGAGTGAGGGAGGGGGCGTGGTCTAGTGCGTGCGTGAGAGGGTGTTTGGGGGGGCGACGGGTTAGGGTTAGGATTTTTCTGTGCATGCGCATATTTTTTTTCTGTGCGTTTTTAAAGAACCGACAGAATAAATTGCATTTTTCTGTGAGTGCTGATTTTTCCGTGTGTATTGTCACGCACAGTGGAACCGACAGAAAAATCGTAATTTTTCTATGCGTACCGAAAAAACGCACAGAAAAATTCATCACCCACAGAACAATTCGAGTTTCCAGTAGTGATTGGGTCTGTCCCGGTGGCTAATATAAACGTGGAGGCGAAAATAATGATATTTAAACATATAACTATCAGTGTGACTCAAATTGGCGAGAACAACACGTTAAGCTATTGACTATGAACTTAGAAAATCCATCGCCCTATCCCTTCCTTACCTATATTCTTCACATACGGCGGCCTATCTCGTGTTTCTTAAACCCCGCTACCTTGGCAACTAGTTCTATTCCATGACATTTGACAAGACTATTACTTATCTTACCTAGTAATTAACTGACCAGTGCTTCAATAATGTCGCTGATAAAACACGTTATTAGTCGTCAAAATGATAATGTTATAGTTAGTTGACAAAATCGCACTAGATGCTGAGATACTTCCACTCGCCCAGCGACCACCAAACGTTGATCTATCGCCTTGATATGCTGAATTTTCTTCTCGCTCGTACGTTCCTCGTATATGCTGGCTTAACTAATTTGATGGGTCGTCATCAACTCCATCGGTATCACCACGTACAGCCAACGTATATAAGTGGACCACAACAGCTATTTTTTCAGCTAATCGCCAATATTTTTGGCGATACATTTATTTGTTTATTTATTTATACATGAGCGTCATCACCAGGTCTTGAAAAGAAGTCTAAACGAAGGAGGAGCAGCAGCAGCAGGAGGAGGAGCTCGTGTGGGGGTAGGAAGGACCAAATTGAAATAACAATGGCGGACGCAGCAAGAGGCCATGGGTCTCTCCCGGTGGCTAACGTGCAGGCGCTTGCGGAGACTTGCAATAACGGAGTGGATGAGCCGGTGCCCCAGAGATACCTCAGCAAGGATCCTAGCGCGGAGGAGGTCGTATCCGCCGACGACAGCGCTTGCGCGATTCCGGTCATCGATTTCCGGAAGCTGCTTGATCCGGAGTCATCGGAGGAGGAGTGCGCCAGGCTCGGATCCGCATGCCACCACTGGGGCTTCTTCCAGGTACGTACGGGGAGTACCAACTTATTAACTATTTCCTGCTTATCTTTATATATATACATATCGTCAGTACATATACATATAAAAAGATGAACCATATATGCATGCATGAGACATATATATTGATGAGGTGCAGTAGTGCAGCTCATCAACCATGGAGTTCCGGATGAAGTGATTGCAAATCTGATGAAGGACGTAGTCGGGTTCTTAAAGCAGCCGCTGGAATCCAAGAAGGAATGCGCGCAGCAAGCTGGCAGCCTTGAAGGCTATGGACAGGCGTTTGTTGTGTCTGAGGATCAGAAGCTGGACTGGGCGGACATGTTCTACCTTCAGGTTCATCCGAGTGAGTCCAGGGACATGCGCTTCTGGCCTACTCGCCCTGCATCCTTCAGGTGCATGATACCTTTGAATATTTATTTTATATATATATATATATATATATATATATATATATATATAGACACACACAGAACTACTACTACAAAATAACTTATTATATAGCTACTTTGAATTACAATAATTATTATGTTAATTTACGAGATTATAGTAACTCCTTACTAAGTGGTTTCCTATAACATTATGGTAAATATCCCCATGTGTTATAGTAATCTAACTATCATAAATATATATTGACATTATCGTAAATTAGTATATAAAATTATCGTAAATGGAGGTGGCTACAGAATAACTTATTTTATAGCTGGCTACTGAATATGTTTATATATATATATATATATATATATATATATAATTAGCTGTTGATAAACCTCGATATTTTGCCTTAATCATTTAATTACTGTTCAGTCACTCCGTAGACGCGTACGCCTCGGAGACCAGAGAGCTAGCGTATCGCTTGCTGGAGCTCATGGCCAAGGCCGTGGGCGCCGAGCCGGCGGTGCTGCTCGGCGTGTTCCAAGGGCAGCCGCAGGGCATGCGGGTGAACCACTACCCGCCGTGCCGGCAGGCTGCTGACCGGGTGCTGGGCCTCTCGCCGCACACCGACGCGTGTGGCCTGACGCTGCTGCTGCAGCTGCAGATGGACAACGACGGCGTAGATGGCCTGCAGATCAAGAAGGGCGGCAAGTGGTTCTCCGTGAACGTCGTGGATGGCGCCTTCGTAGTCAATGTTGGCGACGCCCTTGAGGTACGTTTGTACGTGGTGTCCCCGTCTAACATGTTGAAAACGTGTGTTTTCCTTCTGCCTTCCGGGGAAGAATTTTTTAGGTAGACTTCTTGAGGAATTTTTGAGGTACGTACGTACGTACGTGGTGTCCCCGTCTCTGTGTCTGTGGTGTGCTGATGTATCTTGTACCCTTGGTTTTGCAGATCATGAGTAATGAGAAATTCACTAGTGTTGAGCATAGGGCCGTAATACACCCAAGCAAAGAGAGAATTTCAGTGGCACTGTTCCACTACCCTTGCCAGAATATGATGGTTGGTCCTTTGCCAGAGTTCATGAAAGGCGATAAAGAGCGGTATAGATCAACAAGTTATGAGGATTTCATGAAGCAATACTTTGCAACAAAGCTTGACGGAAGGAAGCACATAGAGAGATTGAAGTTGGAGCAGTAGCTACCCACACCTCCTCTACCTTGACGGAAGGAGGCACCAATAAATTATATGATAATGACTATCACAGAGTAATTCTCTTTTTTTTTTTGCGAATTGAACACAAAATAATTCTGTCTTCAACAATATAGCTTGTGTGTTCGTTCTCAAGCTTTATGTACGTGTGCATCCTGTAAAAAATAAGCATGACTATTTCATGAAACAAATATGCATGCGATTGTTGCTCAGTGCCAGTCTTTCATCAGTGCCCTAATGCTATGCCCATAGAATATTTTTCCGTTTGTTGTGAACAAAATATTCAAATTCCATTACAAATTAAAAGATGCTGATCGGTGGGCTTCTCTGTCGTAGGCTCTATCTCGAGTAGGCCCAAATCTCTCCGTCCCTCTTTTTTCCTGAGCCACTTGGGGCCTGCACTGCCCATTGTGTACGCTCCAAGGTCCATTCCCACCCACCATGGCACAATAAATTAAGATACAAATATATTTGTCAGAGGATTGTTGGATTTAATTTGGCATAACTCATTTTTATTTAGCAATTGAAACAAAGAAAATTCTAAGACCATAGTTAATCCTACGCGTAGTGGTTAGTCTCGTTCCGGAAACGGACAAGAGGTGGTACGTGGCGTGGCGTGGTATGGCGTAGCGCAATGGCGCAATGTGCACATGTTTTTCTTTTTACAACATGTAATGTAATTGATGGTTTGATGAGGTCATGAATATCACTATGTCTTAGTGACCATGATGACCACTATGTCCTAGTGAACCATGATAACTGCTATGTCTGGTTTCCTGTACTAATAATAGACAATTGATTTGTCAGTTTAATAAGTTGTTGCTAACAGCAAATCCAGCACTACTACTTAGAATAGACCCCTTACTTTTAATTTATGTAGCCACCTACTTTTAGGGGGGCTATTTTCTGTTGTTGTCTCCAGCTATACTACCACCGCTCCTATTTTATTTTCCCACAAATGCATCTTACCCCCTCTATGATCTTCTTTTTGCCTCCATAATTAAACCAAAATATTTCAATTGCATTTGTTTCATGAACAACAAATTTAACACCACATAGTTCGAACATAATTAATCAAAGTATGACACCACATAGTTCAAACATAATTAAAGAATGTAAGACCACATAATCCCCGATATCAACACTACAGACACAATAAAACAAAGCATAGATTCATCACCACCAAGTCCATCATCTCCTGCAAAACGACTAGCACCACTAGAACCACCAATTCCTCCATCAAGGCCATGAGAGAATGCTTGGATTTCAGCTATCTTTTGTGCTGTGATTTGTGCCCTCATTGCCAAGACATTAATTCTTCTGGACGAGTGCTAGCGGTGGAGAGGCAGCGCTCGGGACGTCGGCGGGCATGCTTGGGGCGATGTCGGTCGGGTAGAGGGGTAGCGCCGAAGCAGGAGGATGAGGGCCGTCGACGGGGTGGCGGCGCCTGAGCAAACGGGGAGGACTGAGTGTTGTTGATCAGGGAGTACAAGGACCGCCTAGGGAGGATGAAGGTCGACAACAGGTAGAGGAGGCAGCTCTAGCGTAGGTTGGGGAGGAGGCTCCGACAGGTGTCGACAAGGGGCCTGCGACGACCATGGAGGCAGGGCCCAGCTAGAGATGGCTAGATCCGGCCTCACCCAGACTTGGAGATGTTGGCATCGATCCTGCTCGTGGCGGCGACCGGGGAGGTTCCGCGCATGGGCTAGTTCGGGTGCATGAGGGGAGGGGGGGACAACCGAAGTGGAATTGGGTGCCCATCTGTTGGACCAACAGGGTAGTGGAAGAGAGAATTTGTGGGGCAACAAATTTGAGTGACATAGTAGGTAGCTTGTTGGAGTGGAATTTTTTGCTCTATTACTCAAAAATAGAGTAGGGATCCTATTTAGGTAGCCTACTAGACTTACTCTAACAGTTGATTCATGATGACCATTATCTCTTCATCCACCTAGCTATTCATCTTCGTCTTCCTCCGCTGCTGCATAAAAGGGGCACTCCTTCTCTTGTCTGCGAGAGAGAAACACAACCAAGAACAGCACCATGCTTCTGTTGTGTTGCTCTCTGCCATCTCAGTTTTGGCCTCCTGCACGGACAGGTTGTCAGAAGAGTAGGGCATTCGAAACTCCATCCACCTGTGTACCAACATGGGTAAGCAGACGATTAAGTTTTTGTGAAGCGTATCGACGCGTCTACTCGCTTGGTCACGCTATTGTATAGGATCTCTGGTTAGCCTAGAGGGGGGGTGAATAGGCCTGTTTAAAACAAACTTAACCAAATCGTCAAATACGACTCGCGGCACTATCACATCTATGCCGCGGCAATGCCAGACTGTGGCACTACCGCTCCAAGCAGCGGCACTGCCGCCCCTGCAGACAGGTTTGTGAGACAAGTCAAAAACTATCAATGGAAATTTAGATCTGAGAAATTACTAAGCTTTCAGAGGTAAATTGAAGCCTAGAACAACAGCTAGAAGTAGTAGGAGAAACTTATACGAGTAGATCAGGACTAAACCCTAGAAATCACCACAAGAACAAGTAATGCAAGTAGAGAATCACAATCACACGTGATACAAGATTTATCCCGTGGTTCAACTCGCCACTAAGGCTTGTCTACCTCCACATTGTTCAGGTTAGCCAATAAGGCTTGAGCTTTGCAACCCTACCTCGTTCTCAAGTCAAGGAAGTGAATCCTTGAGATGAGTAGTGTTTCACTATATCAATGGGTGATTACAAGCCTCCCGAGACTGCTACACAAGTTGGCAAGCTCACCGGGTGACGCTCTAGCCGGCTAGGAGCAAGCTCCAAGAGTAATAGATCCAATCCACCAGCTAAAATATGAACCAAGTGCTCTTAGGGTTTGGGAATAAGTGGATCTGCTCTTTAATCGAGTTTGGAGCATTTTTCTCTCAAGCATTGATGGGAAAATCACAAGGGAATGCTTGAGAGCTTGAGGGCTGAAAGCATCTAGGCCCCTAGTTGGGTTTCGGTGATTAATGAAGACATGAGATTACTATGGCTAACATGTGTTTTATAGAGGCAATTTAAGTTAGGTCATGGTAATGGCAATTGATTGGGCAATCATGGTTGTCATGCCCCTATCGATGAAAATTGTTTCAGTTTTCAAAGGATGGACGACAAGGTTAAGGACGGACTAGTTCTAAGTGTCATTTGGTGATGGAGAGACACTTAGAGTAGTTTAGGACTTTGTTTTTCCTTAGACCGTACTATTAAGGGGGTATAGACTAGTAGCTTGACCTAGGTAAGTCTAGTGAGTTAGGTGTGGTGCACACTTATCAAACCTAGCACTAGGTAGCTCAGGAATAGCCCTAAGATCAATTGGAGTAAACTTCATTCACATAGGATTTCGATTTGAAAGTGAACGGAGGATCAAATGATTGACCGGATGCTAGTCTGGTTGTGACCGGACGATGGAGGGTGAGTTCGGTCAGTTCACTTGATCAACTGTAGTCGTTTGGTACTGACCGGACGCTGAGTGAAAGTGCACCGGACTCTGGGTACCTGCATCCGGTCAACTCTAGAGAGGTTCCAGAGAGACTTTTTTCTGACCGGACGTGTCTGGTTGTTGCTGACCGGACGCTGGTCAGGTTCCGGTAACTGATCGGACACTGAACAGTAAAGTGACCAGACTCTGGGTGTCAGCGTCCGGTCAACATCAGTAAGATTTCAGAGAGCATTTTTCTTGACTAGACACGTCCGATCAGTGATGACTGGACGCTGGTCAGAGTCCGGTCAGAACTTAACGGCTCTTTCTAACACAGTGGTGGGTATAACTGATTGGAGTGTCCGGTCACACTGACCGGAGCATCCGGTCACACTGACCGGAGCATCCGGTCACCCCGCAGAACGCTGACTCAGTCTCCAAACATTATGTTTTGAATGAGGGGGTATAAATACTTACTCCACTCGTTCAAGGGAGGTCTCTTACCCATTTGTTCAGCTGAGAAACACCTTGAGAGTGTAAGGGAGAGCAATAGCCTAGTGAGGCGATTGAGATTTTAGAATCCAAGATTAAGGTCCTCATTAGTGCAAAGAGAGTAGCAAGTATGCATCCACCCTTCTCATTAGGCTTGTTATGGTCAAGTGAGAGTTTGTGCTTGTTACTCTTGGTGATCGCCATCACCTAGACGGTTCGGTGGTGATTGGGAGCTTGATGATTATCCGACGGAGCTTGTGGATGACCCAACTCAAGTTGTGGGTGATTCACCGTGACGGAGTGTCGAAGAATCATCCCATAGAGAGCACTTGATCTTTGCGCAGATCAAGGGGGAGCTACACCCTTGCGCGGGTGCTCCAACGAGGACTAGTGGGGAGTGGCGACTCTCCGATACCTCGGGAAAACATCACCGCGTTCCTTTCCATCTCTTTACTTTGAGCATTTATATTTGAGCAATTCATTCCTTGTCTTTACATTCCTAGAATTGTCATGCTAGAGTAGGATTGGAACCTAGGGTGCAAAACTTTTGTGCGGTAGAACAATAGAAACACATTATAGGCACAAGGGGTGAAGTGGGCTAAGTGTAGGGTTTAATTATTGCAAAGAATTTAGAATTAGCCCAATTCCCCCCCCTCTTGGGCATCTTGATCCTTTCAAGGGCAACAATGGAGAAGAGAGAGAACTAAGCTGAGCACTGTGTCTGTCGGTCTGGTCATCTGAAGGTTCAAGAGAGCCGTTGGAAGAGAGAGGAGGAGGTATAAATTCCCCTTCTCCCCAACAGTCAGTTAAGTCGCGGCTGTGCTGAAGCATAATTGTGGCGGTGCCGCTCTGTGGAATTGCCTCTCCTCTGGTGCGGCACTGCCGCACCTGCCAGACAGCGAAGGATAAGAATGAAAGGTTTGCTGTCATGGCAAAGACTTTGAGGATGGCTTTCTGAATGAGTTGAGCACTTGGTTGCACATAGTAGATTGTGCATTGCATCCTCCTTTATAGTACGGCCTTTTCTATACTTAAATTCAAAACATAAAAGAAATAGATGCCTTTGAGTCCATCGCCGTGATCAAATATAATTGCGGGGTTCACCATTTCATGTAACATCCTCTTTTGTGTATCACCTGCTTGTCAACTTTGATAAATCTCATTAGTCTCCTAATTGCGTGGTCATTATCACCTAAACCCACAATTAGAGCTTGATTGCACTTACATCTTATTCCCGGTGTTTGAGTACCGTGTTTCTGGTGTTTGAGTACAAGGTGACGGTGATGAACTATTTCGACTACTTCATGGTCGGTATTATTTGTAGAACTGCATTGTGTACCTCGTGTGGTCTACGACATCAACAAGCTCACTATATGTCAACTAGTGAGAATGGTCTTGTCTTTGGCACTAGTCCCGCCTCAGGATACATCTATGGTTTTGCTGGTTTTGCATTAGTTCTTAGTATATTGATCATCATGTTTGCGAATGCAAGTAGATCTCACATAAGGGCATATATGATGTCATAATTTTTTTGTTATTTCTCTGGATTAAATTGTGCCTAATTTGTGTACCTAAATTTCTAACAGGTATCACCACGTGAAGGCAACGTACATAAGTGGGACAGCTTTTTGGCTGATCGTCAAAAGTTTCGGCGATATATATTTATATTTATTTATACAGCAGCGTCATTACCTGGTCCTGAAAAGAAGTCTGAACGAATTAAGGAGCAGCAGGAGGACTGGAGGAGGAGCTTGAGTGGAAGGACCAAACTAACAATGGCGGACGCAGCAAGAAGCACTGGGTCTCTCCCGGTGGCTAAGGTGCAGGCTCTTGCAGAGACTTGCAATAACGGAGTTGATGAGCAGGTGCCCGAGAGGTATCTCAGCAAGGATCCTAGCGCGGAGGAGGTACGTTGTAGCCAGCGACGACAGCACTTGCGCCATTCCGGTCATCGATCTCCGTAAGTTGCTCGATCCGGAGTCATCGGAGGAGGAGTGCGCCAAGCTAGGATCTGCCTGCCTCAACTGGGGCTTCTTCCAGGTACATATATGTATAGATATACATAGTAGGTCCATGTGCTCATCTTTGTTAGATAAAGGAAAAGATCGTCTTCATCCGGGTTGCTTGAAGGTACGTCGTCCAACTTCCGCCTCCTTGGCGTCGTGTCGCCGCCGCCGCCGTGCGTCGCGTCGCGTCTGCCGCCGCCTCGACCATCTGGGTTCCCAGTCCTCTTGGAAGAGATGTAGAGCCTGCCGGTGGAGGGACAAGAGGCGGGCCAGCGAGATCCATTCGGAACGCCACCGCCGACGCTGCCCCGAGGAGCTCGCCCATACCCGCGGCGCCGGGCTCCGAGGGGATCTCCGACGCCCCGCCGCCGCCGTCCCGAGCGTTGCCGTCGGCCGTTGCCGCCCCGAGGGGACCCCCACACCCACTCCATCGGCAACCGAGGGGTTCCTCGACGCCCACACCGCCAGCAGCCGCTGCTCCGTGGGGATCTTCGGTTAGCAAGCCTACAGAACCCCAGTGCTTCCTGGATCCATGCCGGCTCATCGTCTCCCCGTGGAGGCGTGTGCCTAGGACTTCGTGGGCCTGGGCAGGCTCACCGACGGCTGGAGGAACAACGGAAAACTTCGATTCCTCTGCTTGCGGCCACACCAGCACGACGGAGAGGCAGATGGCCAGGCCTTCGTCGTGTCTTAGGATCAGAAGCTGGACTGGGCAGACATGCTCTTCCTCGTTGTTCAGCCCAGGGAATCCAGGGACACGCGCTTCTGGCCTACTCGCCCTGCATCCTTCAGGTGATCATGCATTATCCGATCCATCCAACGATAAATTCTACTGCAGTACTTGTATATCTTGCTGATCTTCTATCTCCTTTTCTTTTTAACCCGAATCGATTCCAGGGATTCCGTGGACTCATATTCCCTGGAAGCAGCAAAGCTAGCGTATCGCTTGCTGGAGCTCATGGCCAAGGCCGTGGGCACCGAGCCGGCGGTGCTGCGAGGCGTGTTCCAAGGGCAGCCGCAGGGCATGCGGGTGAACCTCTACCCGCCGTGCCGGCAGGCAGCTGGCCGGGTGCTGGGCCTGTCGCCGCACAGCGACGCGTCTGGCATGACGCTGCTGCTGCAGATGAACAACGATGTGCAGGGACTGCAGGTCAAGAAGGATGGCAGGTGGTTCGCCGTGGACGCCATGGACGGCGCCTTCGTCGTCAACGTCGGCGACTTTCTTGAGGATACGTGGTGGTGTCTCGGTCTGACGTTGAAAACGCTTTCCTTTTTCGGTGTTGGGGGGTTGGGTTGGGGGCATCCATTTGTGTCTCGATCTGTGCTGATGTATCTTGTGCCCTTCGTTTTGCAGATCATGAGTAATGGGAAATTCACCAGTGTTGAGCATAGGGCTGTGATACACCCAACCAAGAAGAGAATTTCAGTGGCAATGTTCTTCTACCCTTGCCCGAATATGATGGTTGGTCCTTTGCCAGAGCTCGTGAAAGGCGGTATAGATCAACGGGTTATGAGGATTTTATGAAGCAATACTTTGCAACAAAGCTTGACGGAAGGAAGCACCTAGAGAGATTCACTGCAGGAAACCGGGACTTTGCCCAGTGCTCAATTCTTTACTGAGTGCCAAATATCGGGCACTCGGCAAAGGCCACCTTTGCCGAGTGCCGCACTCGGCGAAACTTGGCACTCGGCAAATAAGGCTTTGCCGAGTGTCTGTCACTCGGCAAAATAAGGTACTCGGCAAAGCTAAACTTTGCCCAGTACCAGACACTCGGCAAAGTTGGGCACTCGGCAAAGAGGCGCCCGAGGATAACGGTACCCAACGCTGTCCTCTTTGCCGAGTGCCTTCTGTTTGGCACTCGGCAAAATATTGGCTTTGCCGAGTGCCTAGGGTTAGCACTCGGCAAAATATTCACTTTGCTGAGTGCCAAACCTTGTCACTCGGCAAAATAATTTTTTTTTGTTTTTTGCCACCAACTTGGATGTCCTGGTTTGTGAACACCATACGTGATGACGTTCTCTAAACGTTTTTAAATTTTTACCACCGCATATGCATGTGATATCACGACATCTCGCCAAGTTTCATGATTTTTGGGATTCGTTTGAATTTTATAGAATTAAATAACCACTCGCACGCAAGTTCGCGACGTTGCCCCGTGAGCACGTTGATCGAAATTTGGAGACAGTTCCTAGATTTAGCATAAAGTGATACTAACAAACAAGAATAACATTTTTGGAATGGATCAAAACTATTATTCGATGCACCTGCAGTTCAAACCTATATTTTCCGAAAAATTGCAAGAAAACGAAATAAAGTGAAGAAATATAGCAAACAACAATGAAATTGTGCCAAATTTGAACATGTTCATGGTACAAATACAAATCTAAGAAAAAAAGTTGATGGCAAAAACAAAAAAAATTATTTTGCCGAGTGCCAAGGTTTGGCACTCAGCAAAGTGAATATTTTGCCGAGTGCTAGCCCTAGACACTCGGCAAAGCTAGGACAGAATTTTTTTTTAATTTTTTATTTCGCCGAGTGCCAGATCGGGGGCACTCGGCAAAATACTTTCTTTACCGAGTGCCCTGGATCTGGCACTCGACAAAGAGGTTTGAAATATAAAAAAAACGGACACACGCACACACACCACGCACACACCACACACACACACACACACGCACACACACACACAGCGCGCCGCCTTGGCCAGCTGGCCAGAGTCATTGCGCCACCGGAGCCACCCTGACCACGCCACTGCTGCCCCCCCCAGGCTCCCGGCGGCTGCGCCCGCAAGGCCATGGCACCAGCCCCCTGCGCCAGCATGATGGGAAGGAGGAGGAGGTAGGAGGAAGAGGAGGAAGGAAAGGAGGAAGGAGAAGAAGGGGAGGAGGAAGAAGAAGAAAGAGAAGGGAGGAGGAGGACAGGAAGGAGAAGGGAGGAGAAGGAGGCAGGGGAGAAGAGAGGAGGAGGGGAGGAGAGAAGGAGAAGGGGAGAAGAGGAGAAGAGGAGAAGAGAGGAGAAGAAAGGTGCCGCCTCGGTTCGTCGACCCTCACGCTGTAGCGGTCGTCCCCGTTGTCGTCGCCGGCCTCGGTCTTCGCATTCTCGCTGGCAAGGTATGCCCTAATGTTAGTATTAGTTAGTAAGTAGTAGTGTTAGTAGTTGTAGTAGTTAATTAGTAGTGTTAGTATTAGTTAGTAAGTCGTAGTGACAGTAGTAGTTGTAGTTGTTGTTCATAGTTTTAGTGTTAGTAGTAGTTATTGTTGTATGTATGTGGTTGATGGCCTTCATGCCTATGTTTGGTATACATGTGGTTGTTGGTCTTCGTGCCAATTTTTTCTGCGGGTTTTGGGAACCTCTCCGTGCAGGGGAGGTGCTGCCGAAATTTTCAATGGAGTCTAACCATTTGCCTTTTCTTTGCAGGACGAGGACCGTTGGGAGGCACTCGGCGACCCCGATCGTCTTCGTCGGCGTTGCGGTTCTGCCTGCACCGCGTCGCCTCGCCACTACAGCGACTTGCCACCGCCCCACTAGCCTGACCTCACCGACACCCTAGGTATAACCCATCTTCCATACTTGTATCTCATGTAACCCCAGTTAGGCGTCTCCCGTCCGAAAGAGATACGGTCGTTGGTATGCAGATCTTTGTATACCAAATTACGTACCTGTTTTGGATTGTCCACGTTTTTTTGGACAGCCCGCGGATGCGTAGATGGGTTGGTTTTTGTGGCCCGCTCCTGTCCGAGACAGAGTTTCGGCACCACCTCCTCGTTGTTCTCTTGATACACAATCTCCCTGCCAGGACGTGTATCGGGAGAACAGCGGGGAGGTGATGCCGAAATTCTGTCTTGGATAGGAGCGGACCATGGAAGCCAACCTCATCTACGCATCCTCGGGTGGGATTAGGACCTATCCTTCACCTATTAGATGTATAGTAGGAACGCCTTATGGATTTACCTGCAGTTTTTATTACTCGCTTACATATGCATGTGCCAGAGGATGGATAACCGTGAGTGGATGTACACGGGCCACGCAACTATGACCCCAGAATGGATGACCAAGACCAATGCTTTCCTGGAGCATGCATTTGGTGAGGCTGCTAAAGGGTCAGCCTGGATGCCGTGTCCGTGCAGCAGATGTGGCAACAAGAAAAGAAAAATTAAGAGGCTCATGGGGGAAGATCTTATCAAGTATGGATTCACAGCAAACTATACCCGCTGGATCCACCATGGTGAAGCCAATCGTATTAGAGAGGAGGTGGTGAGACAGCGTCTCGAGGATTATGATGGAGATGGCGAGGTAGCAGACTGGATGGATGACATTCAGCAGGCACGGTTCGGTGAAGGATTAGAGGAGAAGCCAGAGGAAAGCGCAAAGGCGTTCTATGATATGATGTCTTCAGCGCAGAAGCCCTTGCACGAAAAGACAACGGTATCGCAGCTGGATGCAATTGGATGCATCATGGGGTTGAAGTCGTAGTTTAGCATGAGTCGGGACAACTTCGATGGTATGTTGGCAGTTTTTGGATCCCTGCTTCCAGAGGATCACATCCTGCCGAAGAACTTGTACGAGTCACAAAAACTTCTTCGTGCACTTAAGATGCCGTATGAGCAGATCCATGCTTGTTCGAATGGATGCGTCCTTTTTAGGAAAGATCACGAGGGAGCAACGCACTATCCAAAGTGCAAATCCTCTATGTACCTGGAGGTCGACACTAGTGATGGCAAGAAGGAACATCTGAGTATCCCTACGAAGGTCCTACGGTACCTTCCTTTCATACCGAGGATCCAACAGCTGTACATGACAGAGGAGTCCGTGAAACAGATGACATGGCATAAAAATGGCAAAAGGTACAATCCGGACAAGATGGTACACCCATCGGATGGCGACGCCTGGACCCATTTCGATGGCATACATCGTGTTAAAGCTGAGGAGGCTCGCAATGTACGTGTAGCGTTGGCAACAGATGGGTTCAACCCGTATGGATTGTCTGCTGCCCCATACACTTGTTGGCCCATGTTCGTGATACCCCTGAATCTCCCCCCCCCCCGGTGTCATCTTTCAACCCAAGAACGTATTTTTGTCGCTGATAATTCCTGGACATCCGGGGAACAATATGGGTGTGTTCATGGAGCCTATGTTCGATGATTTGATCGATGCTTGGAAAAAGGGGGTACTGACATACGACTGAGCTACAAAGAGAAACTTCACAATGCATGTGTGGTACCACTACTCCCTGCATGACTTCCTGGCGTATGGCCTATTCTGCGGGCGGTGTGTTCACGGGAAGTTCTCATGCCCAATATGCAAGGCAGGTGTGAGGTTCACTTGGCTGAAGAGAGGTGGCAAGTTTTCTTCGTTCGACCAACATCGTCAGTTCCTCCCCCTTGACCATCCATTCAGACGAGACATCAAGAACTTCACGAAAGGTGTTGAAGTCACCGATCCTGCACCTCAGATGATGACCGCTACCGAGATCCGCGCTGAGATAGAGGCTCTCAAAGTTGATAAAGAGAAAGGTCGTTTTGATGGATATGGTCAGTACCACATGTGGACTCATAAATCGGGCTTGACTAGGCTTCCCTATTTCAACGATCTTCTTCTTCCACACAACATTGATTTAATGCACATAGAGAAGAATATCGCCAAGGCGCTTTGGGGAACACTCATGGACACAGAAAAGTCAAAGGACAATGTTAAGGCAAGAGTGGACCTGGCAGCACTGTGCGATAGACCAAAGCAAGTGATGAAGACTCCCGCGCCTGGCAAGAAATGGAAAAGGACTTCGGTCGATTTCGTTTTAAAGAAGGACCAAAGGAGGGAAGTATGTCAGTGGGTTCAGTCGTTAATGTTCCCTGATGGGTATGCGGCGAATCTGAGGAGGGGACTGAACGTGTCCACTTGCTGAGTGTTAGGGATGAAGAGTCATGACTTCCACATATGGATTGAGCGGCTCCTTCTAGCGATGACCAGAGGTTTCGTCCCCGAGCATGTGTGGCACGTCCTGGCAGAGTTGAGCTATTTCTTCCGCCAGCTTTGTGCCAAGGAGCTATCTCGGGCCGTGATTGATGACTTAGAGAAAGTGGCACCTGTGTTGCTCTGTAAGATGGAGAAGATCTTCCCACCCGGCTTCTTCCTCTCAATGCAACATCTGATTTTGCACCTGCCTCACGAGGCACGAATGGGGGCCGTGCAAGCCCGTTGGTGCTATCCAATCGAGAGATGTCTAAAGGTTCTTCGGAAAAAGTGTAGAAATAAAGCCAGAATTGAGGCATCCATGGTAGACGCATTCATTCTTGAGGAGGTGTCAAACTTCACAACATCATACTATAAGGATAGCCTTCCCAGCGTGCACAATCCAATCCCTCGTTACAACACCGACGAGAGGTCATCAAATCTCAGCCTTTTCAAAGGTCAACTTGGCAGGGCAAACGCTTCGAGCACCAAGACCTTGCAGAATGATGAGTGGCGCACTATCATGTTGTATGTGTTGTTGAACCTTGACAAAGTGAACCCTTATGTGCAGTAAG